CTGTGTGTGTGTGTGTGTGACTGTGTGTGTGTCACTGTGTGTGTGTGTGACTGTGTGTGTGTGACTGTGTGTGTGTGTCACTGTGTGTGTGTGACTGTGTGTGTGTGACTGTGTGTGTGTGTCACTGTGTGCGTGTGTGTGTTTGTGTGTGTGTGTGTGTGTATTTCTGTGTGTAGCTAGCAGCTTTAAAATTGTACAGCAAAAAGGGGAACATGCCACATGATTACATTCTTGTACACAAGAGTCAAAACGAAAGTTGTTTCCTCGTGATCAACCACAAGTTACTCGTCATTTTGTGTCTGAACACTAAACAATAGGGATCGTTCCAAAACCAAGATTGCCACATTCAGATATTTTGACTATTGTATGTTTTCTTTCAGCGCTGCCTCAGACAAAGGGAGGCCAGCGGCGTACGGACAGCAGAACTATGTATCACCTTCTCCTGTTCGCCTTTTTGTTTCATCCTATGATATGCCAGACCCGTAAGTTGTGTTATAATTCACACTTTTTATGTGTAATCACACCGTGGTAATAATTTACAAGCCGATTCACAAGTCGATATACCCAAAAAGAGCTATAAGATTCTATCAACATATTATGTAATAAAACTATTTATATTGTTACGTGCAATCCCTAGCTGACATGTTCCGTTTATCCAGACGGCCTGATGTGTTTTCAGTGATCACATAGTATTTTTTTTTCTTATATCAATCACGGGTCTTATCACAGTATCAAAGACATACTTTTGTTTTTTTTTTTTCATTCTTTCCACATTAAATTTTCCATTTATTTAGAATTGTTCTTTGTCTCATTTGTAAGACTCGTTCCAACCTTGAATTGCTATAATGATAAACAATAATAATAATGATGATAATAGTAAGATGGATAGTTGATAACGATGTCTGCTAATGCTATTGTTTCCAGCTGATTGCCTCGGCCTATTTACGAGGTACTTCAACAGACGTCTTCCTGGCAATGACGACCTGACACTTCGAGGTGTGTCTCTGAAAGAGTGTGCCAGAAGATGTGTTGAGGAACCCGCCTTCAAGTGTCGGTCCTTTGAATTGGACTTCACAACCACTGTCCAGACTTGCCATCTCAGTCGCAACGACAGGCATTCTACTGGAACAGGTTTAGTCTCGGCAACGGGGGTTTACTATTACGAAAAGAGAAGTAAGTCTAGATTTGGAAATTGACAACATGTACACATCTTGCTTTCTTTTTACCAACGAGTACTTTTGAGTTGATAGCGTATATGCTTTGGACCATATTAGGGACCCCTCTGAAATATGAAAGCTATAACTCTGGGGAAAATTTATGCAATAAAAAAATGATAGAATACTATGTTAGAGTAAAATACATTTCTCTTTGAAGAAAATAATTCAAATTCATAATACTGAATTTGAATGCGGGTGTTCAGAACCTATGTTACTAGAAACACTGCATAAACATGCTTCATAAAATAATCACAATATTCTCATATCTTCATATCTAGATACCGTTGTAGACGTTGCCATAATAAACCAGTACCCGCTGGTGCCGTACCCGGACGCAGGGCGTACCTCCTGGACTTGTCGCGCTAACGGCACCGTGCTGGGAACGCTCTCATACGACACGTACTTTTTCCGTCTGGAGTATGTGTACCGTTATGTTAACAACGGCAGGTTTACGACGAACAGACAATCGAACAAACCGGCAGGCGAGCCTTGGGTAAGGGTCGGTGTGCCAAAAACATTCAACGCAGATACACCAACTGCTGATCCAATAGGAGTATATTCCTGCGAAGGGGAGCAGGGAACAGGGAGATCCAGGGCATTTACCATCAAAATGTCAAAATCAGGTACGTTAATGCTTTCCGACTGTCATAAAGGACAATATAAAAACTAATGCATGTTATTTTCTTGTGGATTATTACGACAAAAATTATAACCGGACGGCATAGTTAGATTTTCTAAATGCATCTCTACTTTATTATTTAAGATTACAGACCTTGTGCATTTGTACTGAAACTGTGAAACTGTTTGTACTGCGCATTTGTACTGAAACTGTTAGGCATTTACCTAATAAAGTATGTTAGTACATTCACACATTTTTACTGATTTTTCCTCCGTGATGCTATTTTATCGTTTAATGTAGATAAGATAACAGTTATAATAGTAAAATCTCCCTTAACTTAATGCATTTCCGGTGGATTTTCAGCCCAGGTAAATCCATCGGCTCCAACATTCACGGCCAGCCTGGGAGACCCCGTCACACTGACGGTGTCAGGAAGCAGCGATGGAGTCGCCTGGGAGAAACGTAACGTATCAAACAGACTCGCAGAAGGGACTGACCTGACCGTTACACCACAGGCTACAGAGGATCACCAGGGAAGTTACGTGCTGTACAGACAGGCGGATGGATACAATGCCCTGGTGGGCGTTACGCGCCTTATCGTTAGAGGTGAGTAATGTAGAGGTCATCAAGGAAGGCATGGCTGCCTGTAATTTTACCACAAACATTTCGTGCGGTATAGATGTAATAGTTTTATCGTTTTCTTTTCGACATTATGTCAACAACTTGCTAATAAGTTTGAGCGTTTCAGGAAGAGAATGGCATAGAATGTTATTTCCGTAACAGGTTGTCCCAGGAACAAGTACGGACCCTTCTGTAGGTTCACCTGTCCTACGTGTCATCATGGCGGCTGGTGTGATGACGTCAGCGGGGACTGTGTGTGTCCGCCTGGGTTCATCGGAAAAAACTGTGAGATTGGTAAGACAAGGAAAAATACATTTTTGTGTCAAACAACATGTTAACATCACGTAAAATATTTATGGCTTTCCGTGCCATGTCGTAAAATGGATGCAATTTTGGGGCCAAATGACCTGACACTTGCATAAGGCGATGGGAGATTCCATTACTGCATGGAGGTATGGACTGCTGGAACACTTCACACTTTGGACAGGGGGGATTTAGAAACAATCCATTTCAGTGTGGGAGGGGGGGGGGGGGCAGGCCCATTTTTGGAACGGGGTGCGTGGTGAAGTCATCTGCTGCATTTGCTCTAAAGCAAATGTCGATCTTTCTAGTTTTGTTCTGTATTTCCATGTAGGTATCGTAATTATATTGTATTTTGTACTCTTTGGGTCAACAACATGTTATTCCTTGAAAATTCATTTAGGATGCCCCCGTATTAACTACGGTCAGTCCTGTCAGTGGGACTGTAACAATACCGACATCGACGGTTACAACGCCGACCCAGATTGCCGCCGGGTGATGTTGTGTCTCCCCGATCCTTACGGCTGTTCCTGTGTCCGGGGCTGGAAGGGACTGGACTGTCAAACACGTGAATACGCTTTATCTTTGGTAGACAGTATTTTAGAGTTCACATTTTAGCACTCAATATTCTATAAATTAAAAAAAAAAAAACTAGAAAGGCCAATATTTGCTTTGGAGCAAATACAGCGATGGGTTCACCACATTTTACGACATGGCAGGGAAAGAATGAGAAACACAAGGGAAAACAATGATTTACATTGATATAACTATAATATGAAGTAACATACAACTAAAACAACAGTTGGATAGCTATTCCCTACTTTATTGGTTAGGATTTTTAATTGCATAATGCAAACTGTTGATTTTCAAAATAAAATGAAAAAACGTTCATGCCCCGCATTCCAATGCTGGAGCAGAAAAGCTTGAAATACCTACCAAAACACTTGAATAAAGACATACTGTCAGTATGGAAATGCTCTGTGCAGGTGTTAATCAAGTTAAATCCCAACAGCCAATCAGCAAGAAATGCTCTGTGCATGTGGAAATGCTCTGTGCAGGTGTTAATCAAGTTAAGTCCCAACAGCCAATCAGCAAGAAGTATAGAGGAAAGCTGCATGCCTATTGGTTGATGCCCTGCATTCCATTGTGATGACTCATGCCCAGACGTGGTAAACACGGCACACTAACACAGTAATACATTTGCTATAACACAGCCAAAAAACTCAAATAAAACCATTCTAAAAGCCTGTATCACAAAAATTTAAAAAACGCCTAGGGGTATTCGCCCACTGTACCTCCATACCAAATTTCAGGACCTTAGGCCCTAAAATGAAGAAGCTGAATCCATTTAAAAATGGCAGGAGAAGAAGGAGGAGAAGGAGAAGGAGGAGAAGAAACATCAGAAAAAGCAATATGGGTTCACCACCACTTCGTGGTGTGGTGAACCCATAAAAAAACATTTAGCTGAAATGAGATTAATCCAATGCATGAGGCTGTATTTTTCATGTGAACATTAATACAATATTTGCTGTTTTAAATTTAAGATTTTTAAAAAAAGTTTTAGGTTGATAAGATGATTCCCAGGTATATGTTGGACTGGAAAATCCAGACGTTGGTAGCTGCCCGGATGTCCTAGCATGCAACCGTCCAACCAACCAACCAACCAACCAACCAACCAACCAACCAACCAACCAACCAACCAACCAACCAACTAACCAACCAACTAACCAACCAACCAACCAACTAACCAACCAACCAACCAACCAACCAACCAACCAAGCAAACAAGCAACCAACCAACTAACCAACCAACCAACCAACTAACCAAACAACTAACCAACTAACCAACCAACCAACCAACCAACCAACTAACCAACCAACTAACCAACCATCCAACCAACCAACCAAACAACCAACCAAACAAACAACCAACCAACCAACCAACCAACCAATCAAACAAACAAACAACCAACCAAGTAACCACCATGTGGGGTCGTGTGGCGTAACGGCAGAGTGCTCGACTCGGAACCAAGATTTTATAACGATTTAATATTTCAAACATTTATTTAAAAATGTTCCCTATATCCGTGCAGCATGTGCAGCAGGTGAATACGGAGCTGGTTGCACACAGCGGTGTGACTGTAAGAACGGCGGGACATGTGACCGGGTAAAGGGCTGTGCCTGTGTGGGCGACTGGAGTGGACCAACCTGCGAAGACAAAAGTAAGTGAGAGATATCTACATTAATTTCCCACTCTCACTCGTATTGTATTGTATAATTCAAAGGTCTCTAACTCTTTACAATTAATGCCAAAACTGTAGAATAGACATACGCAGTATTTGGGTCAGTTGTCTTATTACCCTCGCCAAGAAGGTTATGTTTTGAGGGGCGTTCGTGTATATGTGTGTGTGTGTGTCTGTGGACTTGAGAAGGCTTAAATGGATTGTCTTGATACTTGGTAGGTGGGTAGGTCTTGATGAGTCCTACGTGTGGTGTTTGAAAGTTCAGTGAAGGTGAACATCATTTAACATAATATATTCAAATCAGGACCTCACTTGCATAATTTATGAGGAAATGCTAGAATGGCATTGGTTTGATAGACTGTATTTTGGTTGAGAATATGGTTAATTGATATAATTCATGAAAATAAGGATCCTATTTGCACAATCAGGGGAATAATCTAAAAATTGCACCGTGCAAAATCCCCCGTTTCCGTGTGAGAAATTGCCGCACACTTTCCCGGATATCTTAGGTTTCCGGTAGAACCCGGGGGTTTCCGACCTGCACACGAAACGTGTGCAGTCCCGTACATGTCCAGTACACTCCCGGAAATGAACCACTTTTTGTGTGCAGGTCGTGTCCTGGACGTTATATGCCCGGACACGATCCCTGTACATCCCCGTACACGGCAGGAAATGGCCGTGCACCGCTCCGTGCGTTGCTGGAATATGCATAATTTAGCGGCAATTATCACCTAATTATTCTCCACACGGCAGCGGAAATCCGCCGTGTACGGGTCGGACATGCCGGTACTACACCCCCCCCCCCCAGGCCAAAACCCGCCCCGCTCTCGGGACCGGTTGCTC